TGAAAAGTACAAATATCCGCATACGACATTGATATTTATGATGATCATTGCTCGTACATGATTTCTTAATGGACCGCACACACTTTTGTTGCAACATAATTCAATTACAACTATTAAGATTATCAATCAGAGCGTCTGGTTATAAGTATTTATGGAATATTTTCAACAAATTATAGAATTTAAGTTTGATCTATAGGCCTAAAAGCTTTTATTTTTATAGTTTTTCCACTGAAATTGGCCAGAATTACTTTATAAAATTTCAATTATATTTCGTTTAATTATTCCTAGAGAAAATTGCTATTCTATTGTAATTAAGTTTTAACAGCAATTTTTTTTTTTTAGCTAAAACTGAAGAGAATCTTTATAAATAAATGTTCAAACTTCAGAGCCAATACACACAGATTTATGTACATACATTACACGATTTGCTTCAAGTAAATTCAAAATTACTTTCGTAAAAATATTAAATATTTTTTGTATATTAATTAAAATTAGCGCTAAATATTTTAGAACATCGTAATTGCGAATAACAATTAAAGTATTTACTTTCTTTATAATTTAATTAACTATAATCAAGCAATTATTATCGTTTATTTTGTTTAAAATAAATTATACAACTAATTATACAATAAAATATTTACGTTTCAGGATTTTAACGGATTGAATTTATGAAGAATAAACATTTTTTTTATAAAAATATTCTTATATTTGTTTTATTATTTGGAATTTTGAAATTAAGTTAGACTTTGAACTGAATATTTTTAACATTTTGGTGTTGCTGCTACATGAATCATTATTATTAAAAAAATAAAAATTAAATTAAATAAGTTTATTGTTAAGTATTTTTGTATTTGGTTGTTTTTTATTTGTGTTGCTGATTAAAATAGTGGAATTTATTTTAAGTTAAATATGAAAATGACATGATAAGACGAGATACATTAGGGTGTTGCTTTTATGCTTTTGTACGAAATTTTGATTTTGACATTCCGTTTGTAACACATTGAAATATTCGTGGTAGATCCACAAAAGCAGGCTTGGGGAATGCCAATTATATTTTTAATTACATTACATTAGAAGTAATTTAAAAAAAATGTTGCCCTTTAACTCCTTCAGCTAGACATTCAGACGGAAGAATATTGGACGAATCGTCTTAGTATCCTATGAGGAATCAAAATATATTCTTGTGCACGGTTATCAGTATCGATTCCATTAAGTAGTTTATTACAATATATGGATAACTTCGTGTCAAGTCACCCAACTATCCGATTTGGAAATAGTAAGAGTTTTCTTTTGAGCAAAAAAAAATTAAATTTAGAAAAAAAATATTTTTTTTTTTTTTTTTTGTAAACAATGAAGGAATTATCTGAACTCCTTTGGACAATTTTTGCTAGGACCAAAAGTTGCACTCATTTGAATAAAACCCTATATGACCAAAATGTCCAAATTTGACCCCCTCAACTCCGACAGTGCTTGACCGATAGGGCTGAAAATTTGTGTCTGGCCTACTATCCAATAGTAACAACGTTGGTGCAAATTTCATCAAAATCGATTTTTTGAGTTCGTGTGGGTGTTTTTGTGTTTTTGAAGTCTATAGACTTCTAAACGGATGGACCGATTTTATTGAAATTTTCACAGAATCTGGAAGGAATTATAGGCTACTTTTTATTTCGAAATTTCAGGAAGGCGAAATACCACGCCCACATACAAAATAGCTATAGTCCTCAAATTTTATATGGACAAAATGGACGGACTGGCTGTAGGGGGCGTGATACCTCCCATATAAAGAAAATATTAAAGCAGTACATCTGAGAAAATATAACTGTTATAATCCTAACGGAGCCACTTTAGTATCATTATGATTGTTTAAGACAATATGGTCTGCCTAAAAATATGGGAGCGTGACACCTCGCTCATGAATTAAATACAAAAATTCGTATATCTGGGAAAATATCTCATATTTCAACATTAAAATCCATATAAATAATTTGGGGGATAATTGCCCGACTAGAAATAGGGGCGTGGCACATCCCATATGAATTAAAGACAAAACTCTTTATATCTGGGAACCTATTGGCTGTCAGTCTACCTATTGAAAACACGATAGTTCCCCTGGAGTTAAAGAAGTACTTGAAATTTCTTTTACAAAGAAGTTGTTTAGTAAGTTGTTTTATTTTTATACCCTTCGCCTTCGTGAGAAGGGTATATCATATAAGTTTGTCATTCCATTTGTAATTTCTATAATATAATTTTCCGACCCTATAAAGTATATATATTATGGATCCTTATAGATAGCGGAGTCGATTTAGCCATGTCCGTCTGTCCGCCTGTCTGTGTGTATGTTGAAATCAGTTTTCAAAGACCCCAGATATCTCCGAATTTTCAATAATTCTATCGGAAATACGATCGAATAGAACGCCCATAAATATCGAAGATATGAGTAAAAATTCGAGACCACCTCTGAAAATTTCATGAAAAATTTACATTTTTCGTGCATGCTTATACAAAACAATAAACAAACAGAAAGAAAACACAGTATCAAACGGTAAATTTTTTCGTTATTATAATTTTTTGTTTATAAAAACAAAGCAAAGAATGAACATCACGTTACGTTACGTTGTTATTGGCTGGAAACATGAAATTAAGTATGTAGAGCCTGGATTAGGCGAGAACACATTAAAGGGGATTTTTTTGTACTTTTTCGTTCTACAAAAAGTACTTTTTGAATTTTCTATAATATTGAACCTAGAAATGTGAAATTTAGCATGTAGGGCCTTGACTAGGTAAGAACCTTTAAAAAGGGACTTTTCGGTACTTTTTCGTTCTACAAAAGGTATTTTTTGAATTTTCTATAATATTGAACCTAGAAACATGAAATTAAGTATGTAGAACCCGGATTAGGTCAGAACACATAAAAGGGGACTTTTTCGTTCTACAAAAGGTACTTTTTGAATTTTCTATAATATTGAACCTAGAAACATGAAATTAAGTATGTGGAGTCCGGATTAGGCGAGAACACATAAAAGGGGACTTTTTGGTACTTTTTCGTTCTATAAAGGTACTTTTTGAAAGTTTTATAATATTGAACCTAGAAACATGAAATTAAGTATGTAGAGTCTGGATTAAGTGATAACCCATAAAAGGGGGCTTTTTGGTACTTTTTTTTTTGGTACTCGTTCTTCAAAAGGTACTTTTTGAAATTTCTATATTGAACCTAGAAATATGAAATTAAGTATGTAGAGTCCGGATTAAGTGAGAACCCATAAAAGGGGACTTTTTGGTAATTTTTCGTTCTTCAAAAGGTACTCTTTGAAATTTCTATAATATTGAACCTACAAATATTAAATTATGCATGTAGAGTCCGGATTAAGTGTGAACCTATAAAAGGGGACTTTTTGGTACCTTACCGTTTTGCAATTGGTATTTTTTTGTAATAAAATTCGTACTGACTGTTTTTTAACACATCATGGTGAAGGGTATATAAGATTCGGCACAGCCGAATATATAACTCTTGCTTGTTTAATAATAAAAAGAGCCAGCTAGAATACGAACCAATTACTTCAGTTTGTTAGTCAACTGTTCTACTCACTACACCACTGCTTAGCTATTTTATTGCGCGTCAAATAATGGTTTTTACATACAAATTTTATTTTGTTTTCATTTTTGTAAAACACAATTCTTAACACGCAATGAAATAAAATGTGCAAACAAAATGACAAAGCCGAAAATGAAGTACTTCTATATCAGATTATAAGAAAGTCATTACTAGAGTACTTCTAAGTAATGCAGACTATAAGTAGTAGTCATTGAAAAGTAAGTGGCTATGGAAGTACAACCCATTACCGAGTTTTTGCTGGGCTCTCTTACAATAAATCACTTTAAATAATATTTAATAATTAAAAATTTTTCAAATATCAAAAAATGTATATTTTCCATTTCAAATACAAATAATAGTACCCTAAAGTACTACATAGACATATGTATCTATGTACAAGCTAGTAGGAAGGTACATATACATACATACATATGTATGTTATTTTCTCTTGTATTTAACATAGTTTTGTTATTATTTAACTAATTATGAACATTTAAATATGCAATTTAAATAAATTAAATTTGATATACAATTATTGTTTACTTATGTACATACAATACAAGAGTTTATTGATAAATTCAGGGTTTAAATAATTAACACCATTTAGGGAACTATCCAAAAAGTCTTTCAACTTTGAAGGAAAACAAATAAAATCCCCAGACACACCAACACACATACACACACAGACACTGAATGAACTAAACTAAACTTTAATTCAAATACAAATAATAAACTTATTTATTTTTGTTTTATGTTTGTGTTGGAATTCTAAATGAAATTTCATTAGGGAAATCTAACATAATCTAACCACAAATACTTGAACATTTAAATAGTATTTGAAATACCAAACCAAATAAATAATTTGTTTGTGTGTGTGTGTGAGTGAGTTCTATTGAAATAAACATTTGATTCGTATTTTTTCTTGGTGTTAAACAAGCTTTTCTTCATTCACACAAGTGCAAAATTGTAGAAATATTGTTGTTTTTAGCAAAAGAACTTTTTATACCTTGAGTTTAACTAAAGCTTAAATGGGGAGCTAGCTGAGTTAAGTTAAGTTAAGCTTGACTTGACTTGATACGTCACCTCGGTTTTCGAAGTCAATGAATACAACTGCGAGTAAAACTACTTGCTGCTGAATATCTAACTAAACACAACTAGTACAAACTTCTACTTAGTTACTTGTTTATTTAAAAATACCTACACACATGCATACTAAGGTGTATAATGTGCTGAACAGGTATGTATCGGTGTGCTTTATCGATATTATATCATGTCTTGGAAAGATCGCTTAATTGTTTATGTCATTGTTGTGTGTGTGTGTTCGGTTTGGTGGTATTAGTGCTGCTGATAGACAGCGTCTTGAGCGTTGTTCAAAAACTTATTTTATCTTGTGCAGGTTGAGAAGTTTAGAAGTCAGTTGAGCATAAAAATTCATACGGTTCGGTCTGGCCAAAATAACTTCAAAACTACTAAACTGAAATATTGTAAATGTATAAAAATATATTTAACGAATAAACACAAAAAACTAACGACGAAACTTAATCGTAACGGAAATTATCGATTTCAAAAAAATAAAAACATACTTCGGCAAATAATATATTAGTATTATTACAACATTTGCAAGTGTATTACAAAATATCAAATAAACAACAAGAAAAAAACACAAGACAAAGAAACGAAAGAATTTTTGAAATTATATCAAAAATACCAAAGGAAGTGATAATGCGTTTATAGCACAATACAACTATTTTGTTTTTGTTTTAATAAATAGAAAAAAAAAATCCTTTTACAAACGCCTAAAAAAATAAGTGCAACATAAAAAAGTGTTTATTTTAAATCGTATTAAACGTCAAAATCTATAATCAAAATGAATAGCAACGTTACATCAGGGTTTGATATTGCTGCCGAAATAGCAAGCATTGCTATAGATGAATTCAAATCACACTATGTGACCAAAAATTTCACTGGATTAATTCAAAGATATTATCATTTGGTCGAAGAGGACTTTGGCGGTAGGTTTACACATCCCCATACACACTCATACTAATACTTACATACATATACACACACACATTTTGTTTTGTATATTTTCATTGTTAAATGCCGGGAATTCCCAACACATGAACTCCAATTAACATTATCTATAGCTGACTGCCCACCTTTTGTTTTGTCATACATGCAAATAATCGGGTTGTTGTAAACAAAAATAAAATATAAAACTAGTTATTAACAAATGATTATTATTAAATGTAATACTTACTAAATACTATTCGCAATAGCTAAACGGATTTACTATATGATGCAATTTAGATTTTATTCAAATACATATTTCCATTTAAATTATTATTGTAAATGAATGAATTAATACTTGATTTAGCGCATTAAGATCTGCCATGACGTTTAATGAAAATTATTAATTAACTTAAGTGCAACAACAACAACAACAACAAATAATTAAAACAAAAACGGAAATCAAAACAACAAAAAATTCCAGAAACAGAAAAGTACTTACTACAAAAGTAAATCACTATAATTAAATTTTTCCATTGACTTCAGGTCAATTAAGAAAATACGGAAATTGCAAAGAAATTACTTTTAATTTACCACATTACCATAAATGGAATTAAAAACCTTTTTTCTAATGTTCTAAGTTTACTTAAAATTTAGAATTTTAAAATTGTTCTATAAAAGTAAAAGCAACAACAAATTCTAGTTCTCTTAAACAATTTGTTACCCAGTGTAATTTGAATAAAAATATAAAGTTATTCAATTGTTAGCAGATATACATACATACATACATGCAGTATCACGATTTGTCAATTATTTTGATAAAGCGATAACAGATTAATTACAAAATTGATTTTTTTTAACTTTACAAACATTCTCAAGCAGCTGCGATGCTTTTTATGTTGAAATGATTTTTAAAATAAAACTTTTATAGAATTTTAATAAATTTTCACATAATCTCAATAAAGTTTTGGGTAAATCTGTCTATTTGCCAAAAATTTCGTTCAAAATTAAAAAAAAAAAATTTCTTTACTATTTTTCAAAAAAATTTCGTTCAAAATTAAAAAAAAAATGAATTTCTTTACTATTTTTCAAAAAAATTCAATATTATTTCCCATGGAAATGTTTGAGTTTTCTTTCTTTTAACTTTATAATACAGTGGAGTCCGGAATAGAGTGAACACTCAATAATATGAACTACTGGGTAGTAGAAACACCTATTTCATATATTAGTTACTCTAAAGAATGATCAACGGTTTTCTTGATATTCACTAGCGCCACTGATAAATCATGATGATCAAAGTCACATCTGTCAAGTTTCACAAGGTACAATGCCTTAGGAGGCTCTTAAACTTAGATAGTCACGATCATTGAATCTTACAGAATGTGAGCAGATGGAATTTTTAAATACTGTTACGGATAATGGCTCCGACATTTTTATTGATGATTTTGGTCATCATCATTATGATTTATCGTTACAAAACAGCAGAAGTATCTAAACGAAATAACGAAATGATTAAAATAAAAAATAATAATAATTTTAACTAATGAGATCCCATCAAAAACTGGATAATGACTTGTATTACTTACATAACCAATAACTTTTCAGTGACTAATTCATACCGTCTGCGTTACTTATATATATATCATCAGATACGTAAGTACTTTGTTTAGAATTTTCCCGTTTTATTTGCATTTTTTATTTGATCGGGCGTTATTTTTACACGCACAGAAAGAACATGTTTTTTCAATGTGAAAACTATTACAATAAAATAACTAAGCAGTGGTGTCGTGAGACAGCGAACTAACGAATAAGAGGTTCAGGTTCGTATTTTGCAAGTACTTATTTAAGTAGTTACTTGTAAGCGAGTGTGGTAAGAACTTGCATCCTACATATGTCTGTCATCACCGTGTTAAAATAATGAGTTAAAATATAATGAAGAAGTAGTGAAAAGCGGCTTTTTTAGCTTCTTAATTCATTACTTACCAATGTAAATTTTTGCTGGGATAGAATTAAGACTATTTATTAATTGTTTTTGCTGATCCCTAGTTCATTCTATTCCGACTTCACTGTACTTAATATTGTTATAAATTCCACCAATTTTGAACAGTCGTCCGAGTTCTAGTTGTGGAAAAAATAATTTTTTTTATACATTCTAATATTAAACTTAAAATCGTCTTAGAAATGCTCCAAAATCCAAATAAGTAACAAAACTAAACTACACCTATGTATATGTATATACTAATTCCACTTAGAAAACTTAAAATAAGTTCATTCCAATGTGGCCTCCGGTAGGCTAGTGTTTAAGTCTAGGTAGTAAAGGAGCCCACAATAGGCCCAATAGTAGCTTTAATCCTTTCAAATCAACTAACTTACTTAGTTCACTCCACACAAATGTTTTCTTTTATGAGGAAGTAAAAAAAGGAAATTAATTTAATGTCTTAAGTTCTGTGTAAACTTGATTAAATTCTTAACTTTTAATCAATTTACATATTTATATGATTATTTCATACTAATCTTCTTTATTTTATTCAAAAGAGTGAATATACAAACAAACAAACAAACAAACAAAATAAATAAACAAAATCGCGTCATAGTCTCAAATGATGTTACAAACAAATTTAAGTATGTATTATATTTTAAAATTCTAACAAATAATTTTTAAATAATTATTGTTATAAATTCTTTGTGACACATCTTTATATTCAAAACCGAATACCTAAACTAATCGTTTATAAGTCAGGATCAATAATAAACAGGTTCGGAATAATATAAAATTATTTTAAATGTAATATTACTTAACAATGATCAGAAACACGTTATTTTTTTAGACTTTGTTTTTGTGAAATTATATAAGAGATACAGAATTAAATTTCAACGACCTTCCAAAACTGTTCCGTTTCCTATAATTTATAATTTGTTATAAATGAATTTTTAAATATTTAATATGAGAAGACTTCTTGTTGAACGGCTTATAAGTACATAATAAAAGATTCAAAATTTTAGTTGTTGAGAAAAGTATTTGAAAGGAATTTGTAAATATGTACAATAAAATATTTTAATGTGCTAATAAGCAACTTCATTTGGAATAAGTTTGTATTTATTAGGTATTTTTTAATAGCATTTTCATGAATTTTCTACTTCATTATATAATTATAAGTTATTTACTATAATTACAAAAATTAATTGATAAAGTTTTAATTTAAATTAATATTAATAGCGATGCTTAATAAAATATAATTGCAAAAAATATTATCTGGTTAATTAATTAATTAATTTCAATAATTGTTATCAATTGAACATGACTAAAATCTTCTGGAAAATTTTCAATTTTAATTTATTCACAAAAATTTCACTATTTTACTTCATATTTTTGTTGTATAGAAATATTCCAGGCATTTATTTTATTTCCCTTTTAATATTTTGCTTAAATATTCTTTATTTTTATACCCTACATCCGTCCATGTAAACCTTGTAATCAAACTACAGGTCACAATTTTAAAGATAATTCAATGATTTGGTACATGATCTTCTATTATCCTAGGAACGAAGACTATTGAAAATGGTTAAGATCGGTCCATTATTTCGCCTAGCCCTTATACAACTGAATAGGGCTTGTAAATCATGTAACCAAACTACAGGTCGCAATTTTAATGATAATTCAATGAAATTTGGCACATTATCTTCTATTGTACTAGAGACAAATGCTATTAAAAATGGTTAACATCGGTCCATTATTTCACCATACAACTGAACCGGTCTTTTAAGTTCATCATTATGTTTAATATACTCGTATCTCGACAAAAAGCTGCAAAACCAAGTACTATACTAGCCTTGATGAACCTCACGAATTGTATAATTGTAGCGCCTTATTTGATCCTAGCCCCTATACAAAGCCCCCTTCAAAATATTACTTAAATATCCACAATTTTATTCAACAGTAAATGGTATATCTGAAGCAAGGTACAATTCCACTTAGATGCTGTATTATGAAAACTAAATCACATTTTATTTTTATAAGTGGTGTAGGGCCTCGCCCGTCTATAATTTCTTATTTGTTTTAATCTACATATATTTATATAAAACATATAAGTATTGTTTACCGATAAACAATTATAAACATTATTGCATAAATTTTGTTCTGTAATTATTGTGTAAATCAGTTTTAGTTATTAGAAAAATATATTAAAGTATTTCAACAATTCAACAGTATGCTGTTAACACTTTTTTCACACAAACTAACAAATAACAGTTTTCCAGTTGGTGTGTCGTAATTAGAAATTGTCATGCTTTAAGATACAAGATATTTGTGTTTACACGATAGAACTATTAAATATGTAAAATAATGAATTCTTTAGTTTGTGTGAAAACGTTGACTAATTCGAAGTGTACAAGTCTATCAGACGGGCAGTTGCAAGTTCGATTCCCGCTAAAAACTGCAGCTTAAAAAAGGCAGTACATACTTGAAAAATGTCATAATTCAATTTAAAAGACCCTTTGGCCATAGTTTTTATTATAGTGAAATAACACTCAGTTTTGTATTCCGCGTTAAATCGAAATATTTTAAATAACGGTGAATTGTTTTCATTTCTGAGTAATAATATTTTGTTAATAGAATTTTGAGATAAATAGTCTTGAATTTACTCCTTTACATTTATTATTCAATAAATTTAATAACACAATTGAACAAATTCCTACACCATATCCAATTGTAATTCTGAAATTTCTTAAAGTAATTCAAGAATTTTATAATTATTTTACAATGAATAAACTAAACTTTCTATATGGAATTTATAAAAGAAAATTGTAAACAGTGTAGTTAGGGTAAATCAATATTCTAATTTATTTTAATGCAATTCAATCAATAGAAGTAGCAACTAACAAATACTAAACTAGAACAGATTAAAAACTAATAAATGATTTAAAAGGGAATTTTTTTTAATTACTCGCTTTGTAGGTTCAAATTTTGTTTAGATTTGTATTATTTTTATACACATTTAAGGAAATAAAACACATAAATGTTGTAGTATTTTTAAAGGTTTAAAAAAACAAACTCAACAATGAATATGAGGGCAATTAAATGGAAACTTCTAAATGAAAAAGTATGAAATTAAAAAAATGCAAAAGCAAAATATTTTATAAATAATTTTTAATGTTTATAACAACCTTGTAAATGTCAATGGTTATAAGATGTTCTTGTTTGGTTTGGTTTTTGTTTTGTTGTTTATTGAATTGTTTATTGTACGTTTTTAATTTTGCTTGTGAACAATTATGAACATCATTAAAACGTATTTAAGTTAATAAAAGTGTTTTAATTATTTTATTATTATACGCGCTCTACTACTTCCACTATGACTGCGACAGACAACACTCCGACTGAGTTCAACATTCTTTTGTGTTCGTTGTGTTTTAGACAATATTTAAAAACATTTTATAATAATTGTTTGTTTTTTTTCGTACTACAAACTTAGAGTAATAGAATTAATGTCTGTATTCACTGAACTTTATTGTTTAGTTTTTTGAAAATTCTTAAAATAAGTCTAAAATAAGTTAATTATGTTTGTTGTAGGTTCAAAATTATTACATGATTTATTTGTCCATTTATTTTCTTAGAACGAGTTTAATGTCTAAGATTTTTTATTATATGTTTGTATTTGTAGGTAACTATTGTTTTTTATGGATTCCACACTATTAAAAATTATTATGGTCACTCATTTGAAACATTAAAAAATATAATCATAATAATAATAGTAATGACAAAAAACGCGTACGCATCCGTGAATGACAAATTCTGATAAAAGTTTTTAGTTTAATTTTTTGTTTATTTGAAAAACTAAGCAATAGATCTTTTGTTTACAATGAAAATTATTTTTAGTAATTGCTAATAAGCTACGGAGTGCTTGCTTTTTAAACGAATTATAAAATTTAAAATAAATCCAAACATTTCTTATTTTTAATACAATTGATATGTATTTCCTATTTCTGAATTTTGATCATATTTCCTATAGCAATGTATTCTAAAGCACATCTGGTAGAATGCTGGTAGAATTGAACATGATTTGAATCCCAAAGATATCTGGGACCATCAGAGAATTGTTTTCAACAAACATACAGGCAGATGGATATTGCTATATTCAGACTTAAAAAATATTGTCAATAAAAACTACATTAATTTTCATATACAAAATGAGGGTCATCAAGGCTAGTGTAAAACTTAGTTGTGCCGCTTTTTATCGAGTTACAAGTACATTAATGGACCGATGTTAACCATTTTCAATAGAAGGTCATGTACCAAGTTTCATTGAATTAGCATCAAAATTGCGACTTATAGTTTGATTACAAGATTTACGGACGGACATAGCTAAATCGGCTCAGAAAATGATTTTAAGCCGATTGGTATACTATAGAATATAGGAACAATATTATTGTGCGTTACAAACATCAGCATAAACACAGTATACCCTCCATACTAGGAGGGTCGCCTAATGTTATATTTCTTTACAAATATTCGTCAAAACATAAGTTTTAATACTTAAACAAAAAACTAATTTGGAAACAAGATACAATTTTGGAAACTTGATAAAATAGCGCATATTTTTTAGCAATCAGTACAAAAATCCCGAATTTTGAGTCTTGTAGTATAAAATCAATATGACTAATTTTGAATAAATAAAATATTAAATTGTAAAATTTAATAAAAAAAATAATAATAAATTACTGTTTCATTAACTGTAAAGCTAATTATTTAGACAGATTAAAAACAACTCACAATGATAAATACATACACACATATTAAAATGTCATTTGTCATTTCATATGAAACTCATACTCTTTCAAAAAGAAATAAATTATAAAAAATACTGTTTTTTCTACTAGATCCCCGAGCCAAACGTTTCCCTCTCATGGATAACCCGCTATACACATTGGGCTTAGTCGGTGTATATTTGTCGTGGGTTCTGGTGATAGGACCTCTATTTATGCGTGATCGTAAACCATTCCAACTAAGACGTACACTTGTCATTTACAATGCATTCCAAGTGGCCATCAGTGCGTACATGTTCTATGAAGTAAGTCCGAAAAATAAATAATTATTCTAAACTTTGTAACGCTGATTTTTCACTTTGTATAATAAAACTAACTTTAAATATCCAAAATTCATAATTTCAAAGTTCAGTGCAATTAGCAGTAATTAATTACCTCTTTTTTATTATATTTTGCAGCATTTAGTGGCAGGTTGGCTAAGTTACAATCTCAAGTGTCAGCCCGTGGATTACAGTGACGGTCCAATGTCGAAAAGAGTAAGTTAATTTAGTAGTTAAGAATAAGTGCAAAACAATAATTCATTTGTCATTAAAACCAGAATAAAACAAAAAAAAAAAAATAGGAACGTGCCAATTTAAAACCAATAAGAATTTAAATAATTTAAACTTTCAGTTTAAATCCTCTTTTCTCGTTTTGTTATCATTATTATAATGTTTTTCTTTCTTCTCGTTCATCATTTAAATTCAAGGTTAAATGAAGCTGCGGTAATTCCAAAGAGGTTTTATTTATTTTATTTTAAATGTTTTTTGTTGACTTTCATCTACTACATACATACTTGTTGGACCTACTATACCTGTTGTATCTGTAGCGAGTGTTTATTTTTAAGATAGATAGCAGCAGTTTGGCAAAAAAAAAAAAAAAAACGAAAAAATGGGTTTATTTACATCTCATTTATCAACTATTCAAAGAAAGACCTACTAGCAAAAATTTCAAAGAGCTAGTCGGCAATAAAATACTTCCAATATTTTGTGTGTGTGCAAATGATTCATAATAAATTATGACAAAAAAATCGATGAATAACCTCAAAATTGGCATAAATGTTTAAAAAAAAACCTCTTGCAACAGTTTGTTTGTTTATCTCTCTAACATTATAATGTTAAAGTAGAGGAAAGGCTGTAGTATAAGTATAAGTGCAAGTGTAGTTGTACGCGTGTGCTGGTGCTGGGGTTCACATGATAAAATTAATAATGACACAAAAGACTTAAGACACAAACCCGATATCTGAAAAACCCGCTCTTGCACTTTTGCTACAAATACAATTAATTTATTTGTATCTACAAATTCAAACGTTTGACAACAGCACTTCTACTAATTTAACTCATTCATCTATCCAGTCTTTTTTTCATTTCTGTTTTCTAGTTCTTTAATTAAACACAAAATAGAAATAAGAATACTTTAACATTGATACCAAATTAATTCAAAATTCAACAAAATATGCTAATAATAATTATATTCAAGTATTTCAAGTGAATTAAATGATAATGAAAAGAAATGCTATAGCTTTTATTCAAAAAAAAGTTGATAACTCATAAATTCTCAAATCTATGAATTTCAAATTAACTAAAAAAAATTATAAAAAAAAAAATACACAAATTATAAAAAAAAATACACGGGTGAATAATTCTTTAATATTTTTCTGAAAGTAATGGAAATTCTTAAAATTTTATTTAAAATACGCCATTTTGAAGGCAATTAAAAGTACATTCGTACATTAATAAATATGTTTGTGCATAAATATTAAACCATTATCTATCTACCTATTAAATATAAATCAATCTTTTTACATATTTTTAATATTTAAGTATTTTCCGTGTAAATTTTTTTTTACAACATTTAAATATCACAACAAACAAAAACTATAATAAAGCCCTAATATTTAGTATAATCAAATAATTTTACACTTATTTAAATATATTCATAAAAATTTGATTTTTTATATAAAAATATGTGTTGTAGTAATTTATTGTTTGTTTATCGTAGTTGTTTGTTATTGTTGTTGTTGTTTTTTTTTTCTTTTCTATCGATTAATACCAGTTTGTGTATAAATTTCACACGTGAGTACTAAAGGTTCAAGTTCGGCCATTTCAAATTTAATTTATTTCAATAAACATAATTATTATTATGGAAATTCAGACTTCCTATTCAGTTCAAAACAAACAGACAAACAACTTATCTTTGCACATTTAAAAGTAGTAAAACCAAAAAAATATAATAACAATTATTAAATTTATGTACAAATATGTACGTTATGAGCATTTTATGATAAATATTGTTTAGTGTGTTTTTTTCGCTTTTATACAACTCACTCTACCACTCACCATTACTTTACTAATCACCCAATTATTTATAAAAACATTTTGAAATTATTTTTAATAGATTAAAAACTTTACAATTTAATGCATGAATGAGATTTAATGAAAATTAAAAAAAAAATTAAGAACAAAAACTAATTTCATAACTCCCTATCAATGAAGTCGTTGCGTAGAAAATATTAAAACGCGTTTTACGTCACAATTAGATTCGACCAAAATAGTAATTTTTTTTTTAACAAATTTTTTGTAGCCCTTGAAATGTGTCTAATCTATTTGCAAAATTGAAAATGCACACAAAATATTGGTTTATGTAAAAAAGACATAAGATAAGATCTTAGGTAAACAATTATATTGGGTTGGTACTATTCAAATATTTGTTTTATTAGCTGTTTACTTTTTCGGAATATCTTTTTAAATATTTAATGATAAAAGACCTCGCAAGAAATACACATTTAATATTTAAAATTTTACGTCAAGGTAAAGGTTTTAGATAAATTGGTCTATCGGTTATGTATTTTTATTTATCGCGTTATAATGTAAAGAGTTGTGTTCCTATATTTTGGCGGTTCTGTCGGAAAAACTTAATTCAGTACCTTTTCTTCATATTCTTGCTGTATGTTTTACATATGTTATAACAATTTTAATAACTCTCAACTTAAAAAAAATACCAAAGAAAACTTTTCTTCTCTTTGAAACGAAGACAATTTCGAAAAATTCCAAAAAATAGTTAAAAGCGATGTAGGCATTACACAAAACTGGGACTGGCTTTTACAAATCCCGGGATTCGGGATTTTGAAAATTGCAATCCCGGGATCTCGGGATATTTCGGGATTCCGGGATTTTTCGGGATCCCGGGATTTCGGGATTACATAAATTTAATTATTTTATACATGAAAATCTGAAATCTTCATGTTTGTGAAGAAAATTGTTTAATCTTGTGAAAATTAATCGACAGAAGATAAATTATTTATTTTTCATAAAAATTTGTTGAATTTTACCTTAATTCCGATGTATTTAAGCAATTTATTGATGAAAAACTAAATTTCTAAAAGAGGCTTTATATGGGAGCTAGGGTCAAATATGGGCCGATCCTCAAACAATTGGGAAGAGGCATGTAATTTTATATAAAGGTTAGTTATGCTGAATGTCATAGCGATACTAATGGTTATAAGTAAATTTTTGGACGTTTAAGATAATTTTTAATGGGGGCCAGTGTCAAACGACAACTCAGAAGGCGATTCTGATTCGATCGGTATACTTTAAGGTGGGTGTAGGACCAATATTTTTATGCGTTACAAACATCAGCACAAACGTATAATACCACACCCACCACTGTAGTAGTGTAGGTTATAATAAATATAACGTTCAATCCCTCGAATATCAGTTTAGATCATAAATGAACCTTTTCTTTGGAACATGTTATCTACATTCAGAACAATTTAATTTACCTTTACTGTTATCACTCAGATTTGTAGAAAGCATCCCAGCAAAAATAAAACGAAGTACTTCCAAAAGAATACCATTTATCACCACTTTGAAAGTAGCACTAAGTGAATTTTATAACCTTCTGAGGAAGTGATGTTTAAAGACTTCCGAAGATTGGAAAATAATTATATTTTTTCAATGCTGAAGATATTTTTTTGTTCTTACATTCTTGGGAGATAAAAAATTTTACTTTTGGGCTTCTGTTTTATTATATGTATCTATTACCCTCATTAATGTTAAAATTATTTAAGGCAAATTAGTTGTATTCTATAATAATACAATTTAACTTCCGAATAACTTCCAAAAAAGATGATAAAAATTACTTCTTGCGAATGACTTCAGAAGTAGTGAATTTAGAATCAAATAAAAAGGACATCCCTCCTGTGTTAAAATCATCACTTCTTCAGCTCTTTTTCAGTACTTCCATGGATAAATTCTACTTCTTTTTCGCTTCTTTGGAAGTTCTTTTTTTGCTGGGTTGTAATGCAAAACCTTCTAGATATCATTTAAAAATTTATTTTATATTTGACTGTGCCGAAATAAAATAAATAAATATTCCGGTATGTGATGGAATTCGAACAATTTGAAATCAATAGATTTGATAAGGTATGATTAATTTCAATCGAGGAATAGTTTATTATTGCAAAATACTACGCAGACAACAAAATACTTTCCATTTAAGAGAACCAATTTAAAAAAATATGATAATTTGTATGAAAAGCCGCAGAAATTTAATATTACACAATTTTTGTATTATTTTTGTAGATTCAAATCGATTCTATTTTAAAAATGAATCTCATCAAATAGCTGATTGTAATGTATTGATATTAATATTGGCATCAAATTGGTTTTCAGAGGAGGTGCTTTTAGGATTTCTTGTGTTAATTTTGGTCCAAATTTGTGTCTACTATAGACAAAGAATGTGTATACTTTTTGGGTCTACGACGAAATGAAAAAATAAATTTGTATGTACTATATTTGGTATCATACCACTTTAAAAAATAAAAGGTTCAAAATGTACAAGAATAGTTGTGCTGAATAAAAAATTTTTTAGTAATAAATCCCGGGATATATTTTGAAAAATCCCGGGATTCGGGATATCCTAATCCCGAAAAAATCCCGGGATTTATTTTGCAAATCCCGGGATTCGGGATTTTCTAATCCCGAAAAATCCCGGGATTTTCGGGATCGGGATTGGCATCCCTAGTAATTTACCAATAACGACTATTCCCAGCAAAAACTTACATTGAAAAATAATGAGCTATAAAGCTAAAAAAAACGCTTTCCACTACATCTTCATTAGCAATTTAACTCATTATTTTAACACAATAATAACATTCTAGGCAAGTACGTAGAAAGCTCGCTTACAAATAACTACTTTAATAAGTACTTACAAATAGCGAGTTAAGAATTTAATTTGTTTTACGCAAAAAAAATATCACACACAGAATACGGTATGTAAAAGTCAAGTCAAGAAGTTATTACCGAGTTATTGCTGGGTTGTTAATACAATTGACATACAACTCATAGGGCTGTACAACCCTGATTGTGAATTGTACAAATTGAAATAAATAATAGGTAAAAGTGTTAGTTTTTGCCTCTGTTGGAAACAAAACGTAAAATTTAGAGTTGAGACATATAGCGTTAAATATGAATAGCTTTAATATTGTTGATATATTTTTTTAAACATTTTCTGTTTAAATATTATTATTAATACATTTTCAAGGACACAATTACAAAATATTGCAAGATTTTGTTATTGAATAAGCAACATTGAATATTTACTAATGTTCAAACGTTGTAAATACTTTTAACTTTTTAACAAAACGAAAAAAGGTTAACCAAAACACAAAATCTAACAAATCATATTTATTCTAAAAGTCATTGTGTGGTTTTTTATGAAAATATATAAATATATTAAATATGTATGTTTATTAAGGTTTGGCTTTTAGTAATTATAAATTTGTTTTTTATTTTATTTACTTTTCTCTTTTAACGGCTTATTTGTCTAAATAAATTATGAAACATGTTTAAAGAGAATTCTCATATAAAAGCGTTTAAATATTAATTATAACTAAATCAAATAAAACTTAGCCCATGTGTATTCGTCGTCGTGTTTATTTTTTTTTTTTAGTTAAAGTCTTTTACAATTTTAGATTTAAAGAATTAGAAAAATAAACAAATTAAAAGCATTAAAAAAGCAAATAACACACAATTACCTAAAATTTAAAACACTAATTAGTTGTTACATTTTTTGCTGTGTACACGATAGGCATTTCATTGCAAACTTATAACGATATTCAAAAATATAAAAAAACAATTGGATTTAAAATATTGAATGACTAAACTATTTAAAAGCTTTTCCAAAGACATTATTATCCATGTGCATAATAGTTATAATATGTATGTAAATAAATATTCTTATTTGTTTTTCTTTTTCTCGTTTACAGATGTTGAATCTCTGTTACGTTTATTATTTATCAAAATTGACTGAATTTGCTGATACAATATTCTTCGTGTTGCGTAAAAAATCGAATCAAATTACCTGGCTACATGTCTACCATCATTCAGTGACTCCTTTGGAAACATGGGTTTTAGTTAAATTTATTGCCGGTAAGTAATAAAATTTTAACCAGTAAAATTACCATCTTTAATAAATTTTTAATTAATCTCCGGTTTATAAAAAAATCGAATTACATAATTGTAATTTAGAATTATTTTAATAACTAAATTACATATATTTTTGATTACTTTTTTCTAGGTGGTAATGCAACATTCCCCAATTTATTGAATAATTTCGTACACGTTTGTATGTACTTCTATTATATGATGTCCGCTATGGGACCAGAATACGCCAAATTCTTATGGTGGAAGAAATATATGACTGAATTGCAAATTGTAAGTATTTTTTTTTTTTACTTTTATATGCGTCTTCTTATACAATGGATGTACAAACCTCAAACGAAATGTTGAATGACCTTCTTAAAAATAATCGCGCATACACATGCAGAACAGGCAACCAAAATTGTCAATATCTACTAAATGCATACGAACATAAGTAGATACTTAACTAGTACATACAGATACAAATATGTGTGTATGTTGTTCATATGTTCACATGTTGGTATCAAAAGGAGAAAAACCAGCGCAGTTATAAGGTTGAAAAACCTGTTATGTAGACAAACGTACGGATGGATGGATGAATGGACAGACGGATAGACAGAAATATTTGGAAAGAATTTTATTAAATTGAAAACATTCATTTTGCACTCCGCCACTGTGAATGAATGCATTTTGCTTGTTGCTTTAATATCCATGATTAAATTTAGTAAATGTTTGGTTACGATACGACCGACCACAATACATACACACATACATATGCATATAAAACATACAACATTGAGTAATTCTTTAAAAGTAGTGGAAGTCTTTTTTTTTCTTGTATTAAGTTTTGTTAGCTGTTAGCTTTTTCTTGCAACAGTTGCCCAAGAAATTATTTAAAGCTTAAAAAAATAACAAAAATAAGAAAAACAGCAACAACAAAAACAATAACAGCAATAATAATAAACTACTCTGCAACAGAATATTTGCCAACTTGTGCCACAACCGTACCATAGCAGCGTATAATACAACAGATACAATTTATTCGTATTTTGCCAAAAAAAAAACCGAAATAGAAAAAAAGCAAAACAAAATAAATGCCACATTTATTAGCGCACTTTAAGACTTGTTTTAACTAGAAACTGATTTAACTTTAACTAACACACACTCAGTTGTCGATATTTTTCAGTAAATAGAAAAAAATCATCGAATCTGCAAGAAATTCTTCCACTTTAAATTATTGAAAAATGTTTATTTTCAAAGACTTCCCGTGTATAGTATGTGTGTAAAGAAAACAAATACAATCTCACGACTTCTTGTCGCACGACATTTATTGTAATAACTGATAAAATACAAGACTAAAACAAACATTACCAACACCAGTGATTCCCATCATCGGGCATAGGTTTCTATGCAATCACAAATTTGGATTAATCCGTCAGTTATACATTCAAAGTTTACCTTTCAAGTTTCAATACACACACATTGAACGTGTAATTGCAAAGTATATTAAAAATAGCGATTTATTGAAAAACTTTGTACTTCAAGTTTGGGATGAACTGACGTTTAAAATTACGTTTAAAATGATTTAGATCGATAGTTCTTTATGTCCCGATTTTTCAATAACATAATGTTTTAGTTTAGACTATTCTAAGTTTTTAGATCTTTAGAAATCTCGGAAAGTAAAATCCCTACAGACGATATGAATGTTCCAAATCATAATCTCATAATATTAATTTATTTGTAATATCTAATATCTATTATTACTAGTTTGTGGTTCAATACACATTAGGCTGGTTCCGTTTGTATAGAATAAAAAAAAACGTTTTAATTAATTTAAAGCCATTCTAAAAACTTATACCTCTAGTCGTTAACGTATATGTTTTAAGAATTATTTAATATTTGCAAATTCTGTATTTTGTAATGCATACTTATGTATTTTAGCATTTTCCTCAGAATAGTTCTATTTTCTTCACACTTAACAAAACATTATAATACCAAACAATAAATTGTTAATAATTTATTGATCAATTATAAATTCTGTAATTTTAATAAATTATTTTTATGTACTCGTATTGTTATTCTTTGTTGTTGACCTACATAAACTTCAATACACTTCCTTTCGTTTTTATACTACTACCAAACGTGGTGTGATATGTATGAATAATATGTATGTATGTATGTATGTATGTATGTATGTATGTATTTTTGTTTGTTTACAAACATATCATTGACTCATTTACTATAAGAATGGCATAACTCAAAATAAATCGTTTTAAGAAAAACGGCTTTATAACATTTTACTACGTTTTTAATAACTTTTAAAAATAATAAAAATAAAGTTAAATTAAGTAGAGGAATTAATGATAGAATGTTTCACATTGTTAAAACAAGAATTTTAGTTTTGACGTTTTCAACAAGAAATGGCACTTACATCGAAAATAATACACATTATTAAAAATATAAAAAATAAAACCAAAAACTTTAGAACGGCACATAATATTTAATACTCAGTTTAAAGAAACGGAATTTGGAGTAATGCCTGTCTTGTAGTAAATGAGCGATGTACTTTTATCATCAAAAATGTATATCTTGAGTTATAGTTTCTATACACTACACTACTATAGTAGTGAGAATATATTGGGTTTATGCTGGTGTTTGTAACGCAAAGAAATATTGGTCCTATATCCTCTTTAAAGTACACAAAAAAAATGCTTAAATACATATGTACTTATGTACATATATCGGAACCAAGGAAAAATTTAACATACATGTTTTATTTATTATAAATAAATTATAACCCCCATTTTCACCACTTTAAGTGGTAAAAATGGTAGTTATTCTTCCAGTTAAGACACTTTTTGTATGAGAACTGGCAGTATATTTTAAAGTTAAAAAATAACTAGACACTGTGAAATGGGGGTAAATTACATATTATAACATAACAGCGAAAACAGCAAAAATAATGTACAACCAATAATGTTCATGACTGTTGTTGGTTAAAATTAAGAAAACAAAACATAATAACAAATAACAAGTGTATAAAGTAACTACCCAACAAACATTTAAGTCTAGAAGTAAATTGAAAATGATGTACATATAATCAAACGATTTTAAGAATAATATGAAACTAAATATAGAGGGTACCAATATTTTACGTTTGTGCAAGCCACTTGTGTAATGTATGTATGAGGGTCTTTCGTGTTTGTACAAATGTTTGTAGAAAAATTTAAAAATTCTTTTACACAAACATATTGAATTTTTGTCAAACCTTTAAGGTTTATTTTCATAAATAACAAATTTTGTACAAAATGTACATTTCTAAGAAAAATTGACATCTATATCTTTGCAAGTCCACAAAAACGTGAAAAAATCGGTGTGTGGGAGTGAAAAAAGTATGTTTGTCAAGTATGTCCTTAAGAAGAAGAACATTTCTCATTTACACTTTTATTGTTAAAAATTGAATTTTTAAACAATAGATTTCATTGGAAATTAAGAACTCAAACATCTGAAGATAAAGTTTGCACTATAGTTATATATTTTAAAATCCTTAAAGGACTCTATAATCTGAAACAAAAAGCTTAACTTTTTCATTAAAAATAAATATTTAAACAAGCACGTGTTCAAAATGGTCGTAATTTCAAGACTACAAACACTTTGTGTTTTTGCTGTTTATTTTGTTTTTGTAATATGTACTTAGAAGAAAATGAAAACAAACATTAATTCGTAAAATACAAGTAAAATGAAATTGAAAATACAGTAAATCGTCGTCATGATCATCAATAGTGAGTAAATGTAAGAAGTACTCTAGCAGATGCATACATATGTATGTATGTGGATATGTACTTGTACACTGGTCTTACACTTTTAAAATAACAATATGTTGTACTTCATACAAACACAAATATTTCGTTTGAATCGATTGACTTGAATGTTTACAGAAGTTGTATAGTTTCATTAATCTAAGTAGTTACTCCTTACCGTTCGTTCGTAAGCCGAAATAAACAAGTTTGTAATTATTTATGTATTAGGATTGCTTCACTTAAAGCTGGACATAAATTTTCAATTAAATATAATTATTAGACATTGACGAACAAAATCAAAAAACCAAAAATAATGGACCAAAAAATTACTTTGAAATATAGCAATAGACTGAGAAGCACTTTCTGAACAGATTTACCAACTTACATACATACATACATACATACATACATACATACAAATACTTATAAATATTACTAATAATATGCAAAATCACTCTATAAAATAGTTTGGAGTTAAGCAGATCATTTGTTTCACAATTATAAAAATAATCACAGAGGATGTAAAGCACACTTACTTATATGTATGTAGACTAATGGGAATCAGAGAATTTAAATATTTTTAAGCCGCCCTAATGTACATGTTGGAATATATTGTTAGTCAGTTTATTTTTTTGCAATATCAACAATCCAATACTTGATTTTTGTTGTGGCAACAACAACTGCATCAGTGGCAGTGTTAATGGAAACTTGTTGCATTGGTTGGTTGACCAATGATTTGCTTTGTAGGTCATTTAATATAATTTTATTTGAAAATATTAGTTATAACAATGTTTATACGATTGTATATGGATTTGCCCGCTCATAGCAGTATTATTACTCAACTTTATGACAGAGATGGCAATGCATTAAATAATTCCGCTATAATCGGCTATGCAAAAGAAAGTCCGAATTAAATATTAAATGTAGGGGATATGACCATATTTTGAACCTGTAACCATACTATGGCTATAATTTTTATAAAAACATATTTGAAAAAAAAAATTATTTACGGATATCAAACTAATATAACTACTGGTTATATTAGCTTATTTACTACAAGACTCAAAATTCGGGGGGTTTTTAGCTAAGTACATATTGTTTTATTTATTATTTGCAAACACATTCTTTTAAAAACTGTCTTTAGAATTTGTGTGGGTTTTTTTAGTTTAGCAAATAAAAATGATAACTCAGAAATTCTAAGTACTTATGTATATCTAGCGACATGCACTTGCTCTGCTGGCGTGTTTCAAGCAGTTGACATTCGCAGATTAAAAAAAAAAAACAGTTCCATGCAACAATGACGTTATATTAACATGTGCTGTGTCGTAGACAACTGAAATTTATGTCTATTATTAATTTACCTTCATGCTTCGCAATATCATGCAGACGAAATGCACAATAGTCGTGCCCTTAAAAAATAGATCTGCTTTAGATGAGTGTTATGTATTTAAGGATAAATAAGGAAAATAATAAAGATTTTCTCCGAATCAAACCTTGTTTAATATGTACAAAAAAGTTTCCGAAAATATGTAATGTAATGTTCAGGGAAACCAAAAAAGTGATCCAAAAAGTGTTCATTAAATATGCAATTGAAAACGAAAAATTTACAATAGTACATGTCTCATTATTTAAAGAACTTAGAGTCTTTTTCAGAAATTAATTTGTTAAAGCTTAATAAGATTCCAGTTTACGTTCAGATAACCAATTAATAACATTCATAATTCCAATATTTGCTACCAAAAAAAAATATTCGATTGAAATCAAATCAACTCAAACTATGCTTTAATGGCTAAAATATAAAAAAATATGCCCTAACAAGTCGATACCAAAATTCTGAAATTTTTCTTAAACGTGTAAATATCTTGTCCATATGACACAAGGCATATGGATTTGCAAATAATGGTTATCCTTGTAATGATATAACCTTAATGTCTGGTTATTTTATATCGTAATGTATTTTACTTTTGAAAATGCATTTCAACTATGGACTTCGGTAGTGTGATAATAACATAAGCAATTCTACACTAATCTAAAGTATTATTGTTAATGTCAAAAAAAAAAAAATAATAATAATAATAAACAACTGTTTCAATTTAAACTTTAAAATCTCCCATGCTTTTTATATTTACAGGCACAATTTGTTCTTTGCATCGTCCACACTGTGCGCGCCTTATTAAGTCAACAGTGCCAGTTTTCGAAATTCATTTCAGCTTTGTTGTTACTCAACTCTTCGATATTCTTCTGTTTGTTTATGAACTTCTACGTGCAGGCCTACAAAAAGGGCAAGGATCAAAAGCCAACAGTAGCAACTACTCCAAACACATGTGCTGCTGAATTGCAACAGAAACAGAGACAGAAGGCGTTCGAAATGAACAACAACAACAGTCAAGATGTGTTACCACTTTTAAGTGAAAAGAAGGTCAACTAATGACGTTAAACAAAAATCAAATCATCCTTTAGCCAGACCTGTTAACGGAATTATGCTAAATATATAATATAGGAATCGATACATGTATGTGTGTACATAATTGTATCGTCCTTTATTTATATAGACAGACATACTTTATACATATGTACATACTTATGTATATTAAACACACATACAAAAACCAACCACATTATTATAATGGTGTACAATGTACATAATACATATTTATATAATAACTATAGTTTTTAATAAAAATAGCCATGATTTTCTCACTTTAATAATGGTTATAATTAAAACAAAAAGAAAAAAATTATTGCGTTGCATGTATGTAAATATGTATGTATGTTGCATGTATCTATGTGTGTGAGTCTACATTAAATACTATAAGTAACATTGTATTGAGAGTATTTGAGTATGCCTTTAATGCCTATAAGTGTAAATAATTAGTTGTAATGTAAGTTCTATTATACAATTTACATTTAGGAGTTTGTATTTTAAATGTATTAAATAATGAAAGAATGAATGGACTGGACTAATCTGTCTATAAGATTTTCACTTACACATAAAAACAAGAAAATTACCAAACACACTAATGTTAACATTAATCTAATGTCATTTTGACAGACACAACTGTCAATTGATGACTATGCATATAGTTGACCTTTAAATTAAAGGATCATCCATATGAGATGACAATTGTGCGTTCGTTCAATTTGTCTGTTGAAATGAAAACTAGAAGTGTATAACTGAGTAAGGAATTTTTTTATTTCTAAGTGTAAATTAATTGTTCTCTTAAACATAAACTAGTCTTAATTACAAATACAAAGCACTACAAACATACATACATACATATTTGGAAATATGTATGTGTGTATTAATGTTAATTTTTTATTAATTAATTTTAAAATAGTGGTTAGTTATACAAAATTATATTAAGGATAATATAAGAAAAGTATATACTTTGGTGTAAAATTATACTATTTTTTAGTTTAATATTTTTTAATGAAATATTTTTTAATAAAATCGAAATTTAAAAAAAGAGTGTTTTCTTAAGGTTTCATGTGGCCCATTGGAAAATATAGACTAGAACATAACGGTAGCCCCAAAATGGAAGTTGCTGATGTTCCCACCGAAAATGAAAACTTAGTTAATTTTAAGATACCGCCTTAAGATATTTCAATACATACTAAAATGCCATTATAATGGCCTTAACACGATTTTATTTTGATATGGGGATATTCAATATAGGGTATCGTTTGAAAGGGGTTTAAAGCCGCGCCCAATGCTGCATTAATCATAAATAACCGTCTTCTCATAATTGTCGTATTCCAAAAAAAAAAATTAGAATTGTTAGGTTTTGCATGAATATCCAAACTGAATATCAAAAAACCTTTAAAATGATACCACATATTGTATATTTTGTTCAAGAAAAAAACTGTAAAAATTAAAAAAAATTACTAAAAAGGGACTTTTTTGTAACCGGTCCAACTCACGAACGGCCATCGAGAAACTAAAAATATTTTGGGAAATATCATAAAACTAAACAAAGATTTTTTGAAGCAGGGTAAAATTTTGAATTGAACATGAAAAATAGTGTCCCCCATAGGATATTTTCTTGAAAACTGCCCAGCTCACGAACGGACAACACTAAATCAAAAATATTTTGGGTAACATTATATTACATAACAACGAATATTTTGAGGGGGTAACTCCAACACCATTTTTTGTGAGTCGGTCTAATGTACATACCTACTTAAAAATTAACAAGTAAGAGTGTTTGTTATATTCGGCTATGCCGAATCTTATATACCCACCATCAAATCACTGCCATATAAATAAACTTTGATATTTTGACTATTTTATTATTATATATCGATACTAATGTGAACATCAGGGTAATATTTGAAATAGTTCTCTTAATGGGGGTTCAACTATTGACAGTGAAGATTTCGGATTTGGCGGTAGGAAGATTTCAGTTCCTTATTTATTTCAAATTTTATAGTTGTACTTATATTTTTAAGCCAGTAATGAACATTAAAGTCATTTTCTTAAAGGGACCTTATACAGGGTTAGGGTTAATTACGGACCGATCCTCATAAAATATGGTTGAGAGATTTTAGCTTAAAATTAGTTTATGTCGAATTGCATTGCATTTCAGCCGGTTAAAGTAATTTTCTTAAGGGGACCTTATATGTGGGGTAAGACTAATTATGAACCGATCATCCTTAAATGTCGTAGAACGATTATTATTTATACAAATCATATTTATGTATAATTTCCAACCAGTAATGGGCGTTGTAAACATGTTCGGTGGGGTAATTATGGACTGATCCTTATAAAAATTGGTAGAGAGATTTCGGTTCCTATAGAACTTATAAGTGTCAAATTTCATCTCTGTACTCGCATTTTTAAGCCAGTATTGAGCGTTAAAGTATTTTTCTGATGGAGACCTTAAATGGGGGTAGGGTCAATTATGGGCCGACCCCCACAACGTTTTGTAGAGAGATGTTAGCTCATACAAAACTAGTTTATGTCGAATTTCATTGATCTACTAGTATTTTTAAGCCAGTACTTAATTTTAAAGTCATTATGGGATGGTCTATTATAGACCGATCCTCGTAAAATTTTTTAGAACCATCTTGGTTCATACAGGTCATGTTTATATCGAATTTCATCACTTTACTCGTTTTTTAGGCCAGTAATGAGCGTTAAATTATTTTTCTGATGGGGACCTTGTATGTGGGGGGTCAATTAAGGCTCGATCCACACAAAATATGGTTAAGAGATTTTGGATCGCAAGGAACTTACTTGAGTCGAATTTCATTGCTATACTCGTATTTTTAAGTCAGTAATTGGCCTTAAAGTAATTTTCTGAAGGGAACCTTATATGGGGGGTAGGATCAATTATAGACCGATCCACATAAAATTTGGTAGAGATTTTGGCTCGTATAAAACATACTTCTGTTAAGTTTCACCGCTATAGTCGTATTTTTAAGCCAGTAATGAGCGTTATAGTAATTTAATGGAGGGGACCTTATATGGGGGGGTAGGGTCAATTATGGACCGATCCACATAAAATAAGGTGGAAATGTTTTGGCTCCTAAGATACATACTTAGGTAAAATTTCCAATAATGAGCGTTAAAGTCATTTTCGGAAGGGGGGCTTATATGGGGGGTAGGGTCAATTATGGACCGATCCAGATAAAATTTGGTAGAGAGATTTTGGCTCGTATAAAACTTAATTATATGAAATTTCATTGCAATACTATTTTTAAGCTGGTAATGAGCGTTAAAGTAATTTTATGGAGGGGAACTTATATGGGGGGTAGGGTCAGTTATGGACCGATCCACATAAAAATTGGTAGAAAGGTTTTGACTCCTAAGATACTAGCTTACGCGAAATTTCTCCCTAAACACGTATTTTTACGCCAATAATGAGCGTTAAAGTCATTTTCTGAAGGGGACCTTATATGGGGGGTAGGGTCAATTATGGACCGATCCACATAAAATTTGGTGGAGAGATATTGGCTCGCATGAAACTAATGTATGTCGAATTTCATTGCTATATTCGTATTTTTAAGCTAGTAATCAGCTTTTTAGTCATTTTCTAAAGGGGACCTTATATGGGGGGTAGGACCAATTATGGTCCTATGTCCGCCATAATTCAGAATTTTATTTCAGAGATCAAAAAACTGTCCTATGCGAAATTTTGTGGTATTTGCTTCATAAACAACGCATTTGTGTATGTTTGAAGCTCTTTATACAATATTCCAACAGAAAACGTCACTGTTTGCTACCAAACCAATGCATAGTGTAAACATGCATTTCTTGCTCAAATTTAAACCACCTCATTGGGCGATTAAACTAGCAACCAAAATTAACTAACTCAAAAACAACATTCGAGTATTAATTTTAATCGCCAATCTTTCACCTAAAATTTGGCCCTTAAAATTAATAATCGGCTTTCCCTACAAGTGCTAACAAATTCATTCAATGGTTTGTGGCTGCACTAAATCAAAAAAGTATACTTTTTGGATGAATGTTTTCACATACTACTGCTTTACAAATTGCCAACTTTTTTTATTCAAATGCATAGCACTGCCATAAGGTTAAAATTGCTATAATTTCCAATCACTGTTCAAAATAAAAATTAAATTAAAAATACCCATTTTTAACATAAATATATACCAAAATTTACAGTTTTTGTTAGAGAAATTTGTGCAAAGAGAAATTAAAAATATTTTTATTTTAGTTGTTTTTACTAGTTTTACGTTTGTTTCTTTCGCAGTGAGATTTTTTGTAAAGTGGCCATTCTGATTGAAAGAAATCTGGCCACGCTGGTTATACATGTAATTTATTGTCGCGATTGAAAAAAGAAATTATTTGCTTAATTTTTACAAAATAAAGATTGTTGAAAAATTAAGATTCGTATAGAGTAGTTGATAAATCATACAACGAGGAACACATCCAAATGACTGTGACCAGCGCCCATGTAACCATGGAAGTACAAGTAAAGGCTCACCAGCCCGCCAATCACCAGGGCCCAAGTAGCACCCAAATTACAGCAAGTCCTTCGCCATCGTATTCCAAGGCAGCAGAGAGCAAGAACTCGAATGAACAACACAAGTTTCATGATGATGAACGAAAAATTGAAGCCGCAGGCGGCGAAAACTCAACCGTACTTTTGGCAAACACAAAATTCCATTTGGATACATACCCGGACATTGCGGACGCTGGCTATGGTGGAGCATTTGTAGGTGGGGAAGAAGCTGGCAATCACCTGCTAAGTGAGCAGCAGCAATACCACCATCAGGTAACATGGTTGGACGACGACAACATTGATACTTTGGATTTGGCTACACTCGACATTGGGAACATGTTTAATCGAGTGGACAGTGCCGAGATTATATACCAACAGAAAAAGAAAAACATCAAGATGGTGGGAAAATATGTGATGGGTGATGTTCTTGGAGAGGGCTCATATGGCAAAGTAAAGGAAGTTTTAGATTCCGAAAATCTATGTCGAAGAGCCGTGAAAATTCTTACAAAACGTAAATTAAGACGTATACCAAACGGCGAACAGAATGTACAACGCGAAATTCAACTCCTTAAACAGTTAAAGCACAAGAATGTTGTAGCGCTATTGGATGTTTTGTACAACGACGAAAAGCAGAAAATGTACTTGATTATGGAATACTGCGTAGGAGGACTACAGGTAAGAAATAAATATTGTTAAATTCATTATTAACATTCATTATTTCAGGAAATGCTTGATAGTGCTCCCGAAAAGAAAATCCCCTTATTCCAAGCACACCGCTATTTTCGTCAACTGGTGAATGGCCTGGAGTATCTTCATGGCATGCGTGTAATACACAAAGACATTAAGCCCGGAAATCTTTTGCTAACACTAGATGAAACGTTAAAAATTTCCGACTTCGGGGTAGCCGAACAATTAGAACTATTTGCTCCAGACGACACATGCACCACTGGTCAAGGTTCTCCTGCATTTCAACCACCGGAAATAGCAAATGGGCTTGATTCTTTTTCTGGCTCAAAAGTTGATATTTGGAGCAGTGGTGTTACCTTGTATGTATATACATAAATAGCACTACATTGGTTTGTGTTATTTACTACTTTTATTGTCCGTTATAGATACAATCTTTGCACGGGCCTCTATCCCTTTGAAGGAGATAACATTTATCGATTGTTGGAAAATATTGGTAGAGGACAATGGGAAGCTCCTGATTGGTTGTATAAGTTAGATAGCAAACTTGCTGTTTTAATTCTAGGCATGTTGCAAGCAGACCCTGATAAGCGTTATAATATACAGCAAATTAGAAAAGATCCGTAAGTATGGAGTGACATTTTTGATTTATTTTTTTTATTTAAAAAAAATTGCGATATTACTAGAAACTAGATCTGAAACTTCATTGACTAACTCAAGTCAATTTTGGATAAAGTTCTTGCTGTATATGTATGTATATTTTCATGATCCTAATTAATGTTTCCAGACGTGTACAAATTTTACGTTATTACCACTGA